AATGTCCAGATGGAGATCGGTGACAAGTGGTGGCCCTCAGGGGTCCATGTTGGGACCAGTACTGTTTAATATCTTCATCAATCACATAGAGGGATTGAGTGGACCCTCAGCAAGTTTGTGGACAACAACAGCTGAGTAGTGCGTTGGACACACCTGAGGGGTGGGATGCCACCTAGAGGAACCTTGACAGGCGCAAGAAGTGGGCTTGTGTGAACTTCATGAGGTTCAGCAAGGCCAGTGCAAGGTCCTGCACCTCTGGGTCAGGGCAACCGCTGGTACCAATATAGGCTGGAGAATGAAACTATTGAAAGCAGCCCTACCGAGAAGGACTTGGGGGTATGGGTGGATAAGAAGCTGGACATGAGACAGCAATGTGTGCTTGCAGCCCAGAAAGCCAACCATATCCTGGGCTGCATCAAAAGAAGTGCGGCAAGCAGGTCAAGGAAGGTGGTTCTGCTTCTCCAGTACTGCATCCAGCTCTGGAGCCCTCAGCATGTGAAAGACATGGACCTGTTGGAGTGTGTCCACAGGAGGCCACACAGATGATCCGAGGGCTGGAGCACCTCTCCTGTGAGGACAGGCTGAGAGAATTGGGGTTGTTCAGCCTCAAAAAGAGAAGGCTTCAGGGAGACCTAATTGTGACCTTTCAGTATTTAAAGGGGGCATACAGGAAAGATGGGGACAAACTTTTTAGCAGGGTATGTTGTGATAGGACAAGGGGTAACGGCTTTAAACTAAAAGAAGGAAGATTTAGACTACATATAAGGAAGGAATTTTTTACACTGAGGATGGTGAAACACTGACCCAGGTTGCCCAGAGAGGTGGGAGATGCCCCATCCCTGGAAACATTCCAGGTCAGGTTGGATGGGGCTCTGAGCAACCTGATCTAGTTGAAGGTGTCCCTGGTCATTGCAGGGGCGGTTGGACTAGATGCTCTTTAAAGGTCCCTTCCGACCCAAACTACTCTATGATTCTCTGAAACCTTGTTTTATTACTGAGACATCCTAGAAGGCTAGTACCAGAACTACATTTTATTTGATTGATTAAATTTTACTTAACAAAGTATAATATAGGAATATTGGAAAAATACAGGCTGTGCATCCTCAGAAGTATACTTTTAAATTCATACCATAAAAATCCATAGCTGCTTTTCTGAAGCAGTGAGCTACAGAATGTTAGCCAGTCACTAAGGCGGTTGACTTGACTAAGTCAGGAGAAACTGATAATCCACAGTGAGCCTGAAGGAAGGTCATTGTACTGTTTTAGTCTTGGGACTTCCGGACTTAAGTCTTAAGGACTCAGGTAGGGTGTTCTGGCATTCAATGAAAATGAGAAACCAAGCACTGTGAAATGTATTAATGACTGTGAAACTTGCTTGTCATGCTGGGACATTGAGGCCATCCCATCATACATCTGCGTGTACTCTAGAGATCGTGAGGACTCAAGTGTTAAGGACTTGAAGTCAGAAGATTGGCTGTGGTTTCTGTGTCAGTGTTTGCCCATTAGTTCGTTGAAGTTTGTTTGATACCAAAGCTGTTAAAAAACATATTCTTGTGCATTAGGAGATAGAGCCTGCTTCTAATTATTTTTTTCATGATTTCTTAGTTATTGATTATAATTTGGTTTTAAAGAAAAATGTGTTTTAGCATTACAAGCAATTTTATTCACTTGTGAAAATGAATTTCTTCCCTAGGGTAAAGTCAGTAGAATTTCCATATGTAACTAGGCATTTTTATTCAGGATTTTCTATGAAAGTAGCCTCAAATCAGCAGTTGTTGCCGCAAAAGTAGAACTGGAGAAGACTGCTTTCATATCTGCTGCATCTTAATAATATGGTAACTTCAGCTTCTCTCTGTAACCTTCTCTCCATAATACTTCCAGTGCAATACCCCACATCTTCCACCCTAAGACCTCACCCCGGTTTCTCTTCTGTACAACAGATGTCTCCACATCTGCACTGTGAGCACTTGTAGAGCCTTTCCCCATTCACAGTTCCGCAATTTGCTGTCACAATACCCCATTTTCTTCCATGTATTCCTTAAATTTCCCTTTTTTTTTTTCTCTCCAATCTATTCCCCATCTTCTGTGTGTCAAAACAAAGCACAGGCTGTTGCCACCCTGGAGCTGCACGTGAAGTGATATTCTGGCCAGCACATGTGCCGCGTGGCCATCTGCCTGCCAGCAAACCAGTCAATCATTCTGCTCTTTCCCAGTATACTGGGGCTCGGTCAGACAAGATTGTGTATGGTGTGGCTTTTGAGTTTGTCACGGAAGTATGGCATATGCGTGTTCTTGGTTTCACTTCAAAAGGAAATCTGTATTTTGACAAAGGTTGCGTTAGCTCTGCGCGTTGATTTTTCCTAAGGTTGGAAATAGTTATCAAAAACTAGCAGAATTGTCTCGTGCCTCTACTGTGAAAATTGGAAGACAGGATGTTGTTGTTCCCGTTACACTTGATAGAAATAGCTGGCAGTGCTTGGCGTTGGATTTGTTTGTCTGCAGCTAGAAACATCAGGAAGTTCTTCACTGAAATAATGCTTTTATGCAATGACTGAAGGATGACGTTAAGAGTTAGCGTTGGCTAAGTGTTTTCTGTATGTTCGGTATGCTCTGTGTTTCAGTCTCACCCAGACAGGAAAGGACTGATTTGCTTTGCTTCCAGCATCCATTGAGATTGATGAATAATGGGAACAAGCTGGCTGAAATTAATTATGATAAACATGAAAATATTATGTTATAAGGGGAAAACAGCTGAAGGACTTTGGATTGGTTAGGTAAGGAGCTCTTCACTGTGAACATTCAGTCACTATGAGTTAGCTGAGTTCTTGTTTTGGAAGCGAGTTTAAGTTGTCAAGTGTTTAGTCTGTTAAAATTAGACAGGAAGCATCATTACTATGTTTATTATTCTTTTGGATCTGACAAAAGATCGCTTGCCTTTCAGAAATTCACTTTTGCAATTTCAGCGTGTTCTTTAGTTTCCTCTGAACTGAACCATTGCCATGTGCCTCATGGAAGATACGTACGTGGAATATGTTAGTTTGCATTAAACAAATGATTCCATCTTGAGTGTGCAATGCTGGTGCCTGCGTATGTGAAATTTAAAGGTTGGGTTTTTTTTCTGTCTTGGCAAGTCACAAATGGCTGATTTCAGCATCCCGATTCTCAAGTTGTGATAGTCTCAGATGCGATATAAAGGTGAGCAGTCCTTGGGCACTCTGATTCATGACACCTGACTCTACTCGCACTGGCCGTACTGTCAAGGACTAACAGTGCCGTACTACAGAGCTTTTCCATTGTCACCCCGATGTCCTTATCGAAACACTGATAGGATGTAGCTGTTGTAGAAAACAGTTCTGTCATCTTAATGTCATCCTCCAGAGCTCCAGTAAAACTAATAAATGTGGCCTTTTATATACATAAGGGTATAAAGGGATACCAAGAGAGTGAAGGGCTTTCTTCTGATTTCCCCTAATTTTAACCTATTCTGCCTTTCAAGCCTTAGCAATAGGGAATACAGATTTTCTATGAGAACTGCTGTGGAGGTTTTGAAAAATACATATTTAATATTCTTTTCTTCTGTTTGCTTTATTTTTTCCCTGCTGTGTTTCCCAAAAGATCTTCTTTGCTTTTTCCTTTTTTGCTTTGTGGTGGTTGTGATTTTTTATAGCCCATTTGTACAATATCAAGTGATGGTGTGAACCACAAAATATTCAAAACTTGGTGGGAATACCACCCCAATACTGGTTTGAGGAAAAGTAATAAAGATTCTTACCTTAAAGAAATTATAAACCATTGACACTGAGCCATCTTACTAGCGTTCATTAGATGAATAAAAGACCAGCAAACTCTTTAACTGACGAAGAACTTTCATTAATTCCAGCAGGTAATGAGTCGAAGTCTCAAAATGACAAACTGGTAACACTGATAATTGTTGTATATTTCTGAACAAAACTAAAGCAATCTCTAACGCTGATATTTAAATTATGTTAACGGGGCTTCAAAAATAACATTTTCCCGAAATGATGTAAGTGAAACAGAGATTATACATCTTGTGTATACCTTTCATTTCTTGAAATGTCTTTTAAATTGCTTGTCTTCGTACACTGTTGTTTAAATTGTGATGAAGATTATCTTTGCATTACTACTGACATCGGTGTCTTAATTTCTTTTTTAATGAAAATTTACATTCCACAGTAACCGGTATTGCCACAACAATATGATCGAGCTTAGTGTTTCTATCCTTATGTCACTTTAGAAACCTGTGTGAATTTAAGTGAAATCTTCATGACTGAAGTCACCTGAAATCCCACCCTTGAAAAATATGTTGCACATAATGCAATTGTGCATCAAGTGAGAATTCTGTCATAAATTTTTGACGAGTTCTACATACTATGATTCAAGTATTCTACATGTGTGAATTGACGAGGATGGTTTGAAGTTTTATGCTAGTATGTGCATAGCAGATCTCATTTTTTTGGTTATTTTAAGATCTTGTGTAAATTAGGATGAAAAACTTACTATTCTTGTAAGTGGGTAATTTCAATAATTTCTTTAAGACAGTAACTAGATCCTTAATGATTTTTATGGTAATTGTCGTACTTATTAATTTGAACACTCAAGTCAAGCAATGAAAACCTGGAACCAGACTTCCTGTCGTCTCTACATACATAATGAATGGATATAGCAAAGTTTGAGAGAAATCCCTGTGTGGTAGTAGTATATGATCTGTGAATAAGGTTTTGTAACTTCCAGTTATAAGTTGGGAATTCATTTTTTCCACTTAAAAATATGTGAAAACCTATCACTAAAGAGAGAAAAGTGCATTTATAAATCCAAAATTTCTGTGTTTAAAATAAGAAAAATACATTATTTATTCTTTGAGCAATTTTCCTTAAAATTAGTCTGAAGATTAACCTCAAAATCTTTTTCCCACCTTAGGTTTCAAGCATATGTAATTTGATAGTAATCCTCTTAATTTTTAAAATTTGAAAATTTTACAGATAAAAAGCTTTGGTGGGCTGACCAGAACTTAGCTCAGATTGGTACCTGTAACAAAAAAGATGGAAGAAACCCAACTGTCCTGCGAAACAAAACTTCAGGTGTTGTACATATGAAAGTGTATGATAAAGCATCACAGCAAGGTATGTAAGATTTTAAGCATGTTTAGCTCTTAGATTGCCTATTATCTTTTCCCATGTTACTCTCCAAACATGGCTAGAACAAAAGAATATGTTTTTCCTTGTAATTCAGGGATAAAATAATATAAAATATTTTTTTAATTTAATAGATTACTGAATATAATAGGATAACTGATGTAGAATATCTGCCTGATATATTTTGATTTATCATGTTTTTTGAAGTTTACACTACAGTGAAGTTTGAGGCAATCTAAGTTTAACATTTTTAGTAAAAAAAAAAAAAATCAGTATGTGAACCTCATCTCAAATCATTGAATTTTAAGAAGTGAAGTATTATGAGAGAGTTCATTAATATTCCTAATTATCTATTTATTTTAAGACAGTTTAATTCATCTAAATTGACAGAAATGACAGTAGCATAAACCAAAGGTGGGATAGCAGAAAAATGGGGGAATATTGCTAATACTGCCAAAACGTAGTTGGCAAAGGGGGAGCTAAGATAATACGAAAAATTGTAATTTGGGGTCATGCACACAGTTTTATGAATTTGAAGATCAGTGATGAAGACATTTGGGAAATTCATTAGAAAGAGATTATTTCTGATTCCAGCTACTTTCAAAGTGTTGATGGTTGCACTGAAAGTGACGAGGAGGGGGTCTACATGAAACAAATGATTTAATTCTGCAGAGAAGCTTCCAAATGAACACAGGATGGAGCTAAGCTGTCTGATGGACAATAAGTATTATATGTACAGAGTACATTAAGTCAGTTCCATATTGAGCACTTCTGGGAACACTTACCATTTTACCTAATCTAGGAAACACCAAAGGTGCTTGGCCAGTCTTGCCCTTAGTTTTAAATGTGGTGGAACAGTAAGTAATAAACATTTAGGTATTCAGTAATGTTTCTGTCATTTGAAAATGCTTGAACTCCCTGCCACGGAGACGTACAGATGGCCTCGTGAGTTCCCACGTGTTAGCAATATCTGGGGTCTATGGCATTAATATGCATCTTCCACTGTAAAAAAGTCAAGAAAAGGAACAGTTCTTTTTGTATTACTGAACTTTAACCGTAATGAGAGCCCTGAAGTTGTGTAATGAAATGTCACCTTGCTGATCTATATTTGACCGAGCAATGTAAGGTTGGATATAATTCTTATATCCAAAAGGATATAAAAATTAAACAGTGTAGATGGGATTCAGCTTTACACTTGCACGATTTTTTTTTAAAGAATCTTTGCATATTTTGTATGCATCTTTCATTTCATTAAATCAAAATGACACAAGAGCAAATGTGATGAGGGCACTTACAGATTTCTTTGTAGACTTGTATACAAATTTGATGTCCTAGATTTTTTTTTTTTTTCGCTTTCTTTACTCTACAATTTTTCCCTTTGAGGATACCTGAGGCTTTGAAACCTCACCTGTCTTTTCCAGTTGGGTGGTTGGATCATTAGAAAACATCTATGATTTTTACATGAAGAAATGCTTTCTACTTCAAAATTAGGAATGCAAAAATAAATGTGACAAGAAGTGTTCTGATTCATAAAGACTTGGTAACTTGTAATTAACTAATTCCTCGAACGTCTTAGTAGACTTAAATGTTTCTTCGTGAAGCTTCAAATTTCTGAGATGTGTTTATTGTGCTGTGTATAATGTTTATTATAAATCTTATTAAAAAGTGTTTATCTATTACTTAAAAGTAAATATTGTTTTAATTAAGAAGTAGGAGCATGGATCTGTGAGATCACATTGGAGCGTATCTTAAATATGCTAAACCAATAGTGGTTCATGCAGATACGAGGTTAATATAAAATTTGATGAATGAATACAGTATGATTAATGATTTGCTCATGGTCTAGAATAAGATACGCTTTCTAGACTAACATCAGTGAGATTTCAGCGTTGCTACTCACAAAAGTAATGTAGTATTTTCAGTTTTATCATATGCTTTTACTTTAAAATAGCAGTTTCTAATTCAGAAAACTGAGTTATTTAAAAAAAAATATTCTGAGGAAAAAACCCCTTACTCTAAGTGCACAGATAAAATGCTGTAAGAGTGAAGCATGGAAGAATCTATGACTAGTAGCTTACCTGAAATATTTTATGCATATCTCAAATTTTCAGAGAAGTTAGCTGAACAAAATTTGGTTTTGGTAATATTAATAAATTTATGTCAACACTTGTTTTTAGTCAGGATTGCACTGTTCAGATTTTGATTCCTCTTGTGTCTTCTCCCATCGTGTTATAGGTAGCAATTCCTGTCAGTTAAATAATGGTGGATGCTCCCAGCTTTGTTTACCAACGTCAGAAACCACCAGAACTTGTGTGTGTACAGTAGGCTACAACCTTCAAAAAAACCGCATGGCATGCAAAGGTGAAATGGCTTTTCATATTTATTTTAACTCAGTTTTATGGAAACGCCGTAATGACCAAATAAACTGTCTTTAATAATTTCAAGTTAAATAGCCATACTTAATATGCTTGATTAAAGCAGTAACAGAGAGATGACTGTTGTGGTTAGGACAGACTTAAATTTAGCTTTTAATTTCTTTCTTTATATCTGCATAGCTTTTTGTGGAAACTCTGAGGAATATATTTTTTGTGGGTTTTTTTAATATAGGCAGAAAAGCAAACCATCTGAGCTATCATGAATGGCAGTACATATTTGTTCAAGGTCATATACCTTATCTTTAAATGAAATTATAGGCTACAGTATCTGAAAGGTTGGGTATCTTATCCTATTGTGTTACCCTAAATATAAAGTAAGGTCTGATTTTTTTTTTTTTTTTTAATCATTTGTCCAATTGAGCAGGAAAAAATCAAAACATAGCTTACATCCGAAGTCTTATTTTTTTCCTTGAATAATACAAAACGGCCTTATGGGCAAGGTACTTTGTAGTTGTATAAGTTTAATATTATTTATTCCTATGAGGGATTGCTACCTTATAGTAGAGTACACATGGAAGCAGAATTAAGCAACGTCAATGTGGCTTTTCTACTTCAGTGCTTTTCATATGTGACTTAATAGCATGTTCTTAATGTTTTTTATTTCTTTTAAAAGTAGTAATTTTTACTTTTACAATTACTTCTTCAGATATTTATAACTTTCAGTTGTGGGTTAAGGTAAAACAGGTGGGTGTTGTGTATTTGAAATGTATTCCTCCTTTATGTCTAATTATACTACTTTCTAGATCATAACAGCTTCTTATGATTAAACTTTTCTTCAGTTAAAAAGAGGTCATGAGTCGAAAAGATTTTTATTCTATCTTGAAAATTCATGGAGAAAAACTGACAAGTACTGTTCTGTACACATATGCTTTCTTGGCATTGTTCTTTTCATTTGCTAGCTAGATTTCTTCTTGCTTTTGAGAAAACTTTGTAATTCTCTACCTGAACCTTTTTAGTCCATATTCTTAGGGTCTCCTACTAGCTAGCTCTTTACAAAGAAAGAAATTTTCCAAGAATTGGTGTGAAGAAAAAAGAGCTCTTTTTGTGTATGGTAGTTAAAATTCTTCAATAATACCAGTTATGTATTGTCACGCTGCGTAATTTCCCTTAAATTTAGGAGTGTTCTGATATGTAAGCAGATTAGGACAACAAAGTATTTGTTCTAATTTTGGTGGTCAACAATTAGGTGTGATTCATCTCAACTGGGAATGACTACATAGCAAGAACTCTGCACAGTTGATTTTCTTCCTACTTAATAGAAATAGGTGCATCTGGGGTGTGATTAATCTAACACAAAAGCAGACATTTAAAATGAATCAGCTGCATTGTTCACTAAAACTATGTCTTTCTCTCTATTGTCTATAAAGGAAGTGTGCATGACTAAATGAGATGAGATAAATCCCATGCCTCAAAAGACAATTCAGTCTTGAGTCCTGCTTTCCGAAAGTTCTTCAAAAATTGTCTCTTGCTGAATAAGTACAGAAAGTGCAGATGTGGACTGAAAGTATTCTTAAATTTTTCATAATTCAAAACATTTTCTTCTTAAGTTTTAATTTTCATTACCACTAATTACTTAATTATAAGGTGAAGATTGAAATGGATAGTGATTCCTTTCTCTTTATGAAACTGTATTTATCATTTAATTAGAAATACACCACAGCAATTCATGGATGCTTTTTCAAAGAAATGGAGTTATCATTCTGGAAAACTATGGAGCAGTATTGGAAAACTATGTCTAGTGCTTGTTAATTCCTCAAGTCTTGTTAATTGGGGAAGTCTCCACTTTGCTCTCATTGGCTATTTTATTTTTCCCATAGGTATTGAATCATTTCTTATGTATTCTGTTCATGAAGGAATTAGAGGAATTCCTCTTGATCCAAATGATAAAATGGATGCTTTAATGCCTATATCTGGAACTTCATTTGCTGTCGGCATAGACTTCCATGCAGGTAAATATTATGTATGGTTTATTGTATGTATGGTAAATATTGTACACTATTATAAATGAAATAAGCCCCCAGTTTTCAAACCTTCTAAGTATTTACAACTATATTTAAAGTTGATTGTGTGTTACAGTGTTAACCTCTAGCTATTTATTATTTACAGTAAATAGAAAAGCATGTATTATGTATGTGTAGATCAAATTAGCAGCACTATCCACTGGTTTTCAGTGGAGACATCACTGAGATCTTGAGTAGGAAACTGGTGGTTTTACAGAAGGTAGTCACAAATCTGTAGGAAAGGAGGTTTTATTAGTTCCTTTTTCGTAGAAAAAAGCTTGTTCCTGGCATGACATTTTTTCTACTGAATTGTCTTAGTCATACATATTGTACTTAGCAGGTGGGTTTGACAGCTGAGTGGGATAGTTTTCTTTTTGTCCAGCAAAGCTCAGCCACTTCACTGCAGCCTACAAGCCAACTTGGTATGTGTTTCTTCCTTTTAGAAGCAGATGCTCTAACAGCCTGAAGAACAACCATTTCTATCTTAAGTACACTACATACCTTTTCACTGGTGTATAAATAGAAAATGGTTTTCACTTTAGGTAGCATCAAAAATTCCCTATGAAATTAGGAGGTTTCTGGTTTGCATGTATGTGAAAGAAGATGGAAAGGAATGAAGGATCAGTCCCGAAAAGTAACTGCATACATCTCCCACTGGTACTAAAAGGTGTCTGAATATCTTCAAAGACATTAGGAATTTTTGGTTAATTTACAGAAAATGAGACATCTGTGACCAAGTAGTGACCTGAAAACATCTTACATCTCCATATTTTTAACCCATTAGCTCTTTGACCAGCCTTCCTTCTGAACTGATTTTCTCATGAGCTGTTTTTGTTACCCATTGAGTTTACAAATGAGCGGTTTAGAAATAAAATTTTAAGTTACCTACATTATATACCTATGGACTTTGGATTCCTGAAACATATGACCATTTTGTTGTACTCCATTGTTTTTCATTTCGAAATAAATTCTGCCTGGGAATTCAGCACTGAGAGAGCCTAAGTTTTTACTTAAGTATATGTTAATATATGTCTTCATATTAAAAACAGACCTTTTTCTGCTTGTTGACTACTTCATCGCACAAGTATCACTAACCTTTTATTAACAGGTTAGGAGTTAAATTCATTGAAGTCTTCTCTTCCTTTGGCCTGCGTTCTTCACTGATGCTCTTGCACCTCTGCTTTGCCTAGCAAAATTCCAAGTTCACTCAACATTTTACAGTGCCCTCATACTTATATATTTTGCTTTCAAATTGGTGACCGCTAATGTTTAGACCTTTCATTACATCGTAGGTATAGTTCAGTCATAGTCTACTGAGACATAAAAATCACTTAAAAGCCAGTGCCTTTATACACATGTCTTAGATGGGAAAGACCATGATACAGCTGATTTCATCTATTCCTGGAAAGATACAGGATGATAGAGAAGTAGTAGCTACGTGTGTTCATGACAGAGAGTACTAAGACAAAGCGATTGGGTTTTCCAGGGATTATATTTTTTGTTGTAGTATATTTACCTTAAAAAGTACCATTTTTGAATTCAAGTCTTGCAAGCTTTACAAAGTTATGACATGCAATACAGAAATCTGAAATTCCACCTTTTCATTCTAAAATACCAATACTAGGATCTTACTGGGGATTTTGCATCTCGTGTTTTCTTTGGTTTGGGGATTTTTTTTTAGCATAGTCTATTTATAGGATATGATAGCTCCTACTTTAGAGACCTTTGTTTGGACTTCACTAGCCAATATGAAATTAATATTTTGGAAGAATAAGATACATGTACTAAATTTTAGCTTTTTGGAAAAATGAGATTTGAGGAAGCATGAAATCAAGTGAGGTTCGCCACTTGTGTGATGATCAGTACAAGGAACATGAATAAGATTGACAGTGACAAATGAATTGCTTAACATGAACGTGAATCTTCTGTAGCAGGGAAATCGCAAGGGGATACTGTGTTATTGAAAAGTTCAGCTTTCAACAGCATTTCAGCTTAAAAAGAAGTTGTTTTTCTCATTTTGATACCTTACCTTGAATTTTTGGAATTCATTACTAAAACCTTTGGTCATCAAATATGATTCAGAAGGCAAGTGGAGATACTTCCAGAATTCATCTTGTTTTGTTTTGTTTTCATTTAGTGACTATTGCTTGCATTTCATTCTTAATTGTGAAACATTCCCAAATTCTTATCTACTCTCAGTAATATTTAGGTTTGCAGAGTGGCTAAAATGCATTAAGATATAGTATAGTGTATCATAGTTAAAAGACTTACAGCAATATTTTTTGCAGACGTGAAAGAGAGAAGATAAATGCACCTTTTCTCTCCCTATGTCTTTGTACTTCTAAATTCTCGTAAAAGAACTACAAGAGCAGTTTTGAGCTTTGAACATTTTTAGAGGTTGTTGGGGAGAGCGATTGCCAGTGTTATTTAAGACATAGGTTTATAAAACTGGGTGCGATCCTAGTAGTCATTCATTTCTGTATTGTTAAAGATAATGGCATTGTTTGTTCCTCTCAACATTATTCCGGGAAGCTCATCATACTTCTTACCTTAGTATCTGGTTTGCATTTGTTGAAGTCATTATTTCACATGGTGGGAGGTACTCTACACTTAAGCTTGGTCTGGTTGGAGGAGAATCTTCACAGCAGAGAAACACTACTGTATTTGAGATGACAGGGGCATTCTAAGTGTTGAAGAAATGAGAATGTGTTTATTTGCAGAATGATGGTCTTCAAATTGATGGGTAAAACTAATAAGTCCAAAATGCAGCAGCTACTAGGAAGAAAATTAACTCTATCCCAGCTGAAACCAGGACAGTCTCCGAGGAAGTGATCCTGTTCGTCAGGAGACACTACTTTAACTCCTACGGACTTAGAGGGCACAAACTACTCAATGAGTAGTAGCATTTCTGTCTTTTTAAAGCACAATGCATAGCGGTTACATGGATGTTTTCCTTTGTGCTGAAAAGCCTCCATAAGGGTGGAGTAATAGCTAAAACTGTTGATATTTTTGAAAGAATAGTGCTATTGCTGAGCCCTTTTCAGTTCTGCAGTAGTTCATCTCGGAAACAGCTTAAGATTTGCAAGATTTTGCCTCTGTGGAAAGCAGAGTCTTCCCAGTCCCTCACCGAGATTTGCTGAACTTGGTGGGAGCTGGGAACCCAGAGGTGTTGTGTCACATATTTTTCCACACTTTGTCTCCATTTTCTTTCACCCTCTTACTCACACTGTCATTGTGCCTCCAGGCACTGGTACCTGTGGTGTATGTAGAGGGGTGTATAGGTGGGAGGAGCAGATTTTACTCTCTTTGTTGACATAAGCATTTTAAACATTTACAGACTAAGCTGACAAGGCCTGACAAAAGCAGTAATATTCAGCACATATTGTGTATGTTGAATTTTGAGTTACAGGATTTTATTGGCAAAATACTAATGTGTTAAATGGAATTAACTTTCAGTGTTTGCTGATAAGCTGCCTGCGGACTGCAGGCGTCAACGTGAGGCCATGGTTACTAATGCTCACCACTTAGCAAAATGCTTGTAGAAGCTGCATACAGTTGCGGACAGTTGTTTCCCATTTTGTGGCAACTGTCATTTGTAGGTAGTAATTCTCTTCTCTTCACACTCCAGCAATAGAATAGGTAAATAGATACTGAAGGCTCCAAATTGGGTATAAACCTTCTTTCCATCTGTCTAATGCCAGAACTGACTTCAGAAACCGGATGCTGAATGGAGTTTTTGTCTTCACGTCTGTTATTTTTCAGAGTAATTGGGGAAATAAAACAGGTTTGTGCAATTATAATATCAATAGTGCTACCTGACAGAAACAGCATTGACACGCAGGTCTGTGAAAACGTCCCCCACTTTTATGAGTGAACAGACTACAGCAAAGTAAAGGCCAGTTACTTAATCTGAATTCCTGTTAGCTTGTTCTGCATGGCATGGGTCTTCAGTCGTTGAGTCCTGCTGAGAATGTTACTCCATGTTTTATTGAGATACAGAGAACTTCGATTAAATTGGGCCTTGGGCAACCTGGTCTAGTGAGAGGTGTCCCTGCCCATGGCAGGCAGGTTGAAACTCGATGACCTTCAAGGTCCTTTCCAACTTAAACCATTCTATGATTCTATGATTAACAGAAAGGAACCCATAAAAATTGCTATTTCCATAAAGTGAGAGGGGATTTCTCATTTGATCATACCATCTGTATCCAAGCGTACACTGAAACTCAGCAAATGCTATGGTGTTATCTTCATTAGTTTGGTGACAACTACTTCCTTGGGTATTTTCAGTCTGTACAGCAAAAGAATATTATTTTTTTTTTCTTTTCTTAAGGTGTCATGAAGTACCTGAAAAATCAAAACTATTGTCCAATGTAATGTATGGAACATAGTGACTGAAAAGGTTTGCATTGCTGTGAATAAATAACCTTTACCAGTACTTCAGGAAAAAAAAAAATAATATATTTTTCCTTGGAGCATCTTTGAACAATTATGTCAAATGTCATTGTCAACGTGTTTTACAACTAAGTTTAATGAATATTTAATTCAGGATACAAATGTAGGCAAGTGAGGCATAGGACTGTAAAAGAACATGTTAATTTTAAAGAAATGATGTCTTAGCTGAGATTTAATATCAGTGTATGGTTGAGTAATTATTATCTTTACATATTCAAGCTGTTAGCATTTACTTTTAAGGACACTTTCTAGAAGAAGTGAACTGTGTGTGCTTTGTGAACTTCCTCCAACACAGCAAATATTACACGAGTTTCCCTGCTTGGTTCCAGTCCCAAAACTACTTACATAATATTTGTTTGTAGAGCAGAGAGGTTCTGCTTAAAAATTCTGGTCATTTTACAGGAACACTACCAACTAAATAAAAATCCAATTTGGCTGATGTTAAAATAGTATTCCCTGTAATATTTGTCTTGAAAATGTGTTCTCCTTTATAATTGGGACGTATTTTTATATCTCTGAAGTTACGTCTGCCCATCTCAGCGTCCTTTTTTGTACTTGTGTATAACCATTAGTTGCTTTCTACCTATTTATATTCAAGTATATTGTGTATTAAGGGAAATGTTGATCATTAACAAAACGAAGCTTTTTTGTAAACTACTGCATTTTACAGAAAGTAAATAAGTAATTTAGGTAATCTTTTAATGGTTTTTGTGTATAATGATATACTTAAAGAGAAATATGATTTTTTTTTTTTAATTGGTTTTATCTCTTTAACATGTGATTATCTGGAAGCAAATCCAGGTAATTCAGTTGTCTGAATTTTTGGATTACTGAAAAACACTATTTTAAGGAAACAGTACTACAAAGTCAGCTGTGCTATATACGTTGAGATTTAGTCATGGACGTGAAACCATGGAGATCTCTGTGTTCTTATAACAGTTTCTAAGCTGTTATGTGGATTCTTGCTCCTGTGGCTGACTTAAATAGTCATAGTATGAATACAAAATGGGTTATTTTTATGGAGATGACTTAAACTGGAATACGAAATACATAAAATTCACTTGTAGAATGGCTTATCCAGTTGGTAATCAGAATAGATAGAATTTCTTTTTTATTAACTATGTACTTTCAGATAAGATTTTGTAGTGATTTTGTATATGTTATATTCTAGTGAAGGGTGTTTGGCATACACTTGCACACAATAAAAGATCAGTATCTTACTGTTGAATGTATGTGCAACTAGGATTAAGGTCTGTGTAATTTTCATACTCATTTGAAAAAAGTAGCACAATACATGGCTCCCATAGGTGATAATCAAACTATATGTTTGGGATACTTGAAGTCAGAATTTGTCTTTTGTTTTATTGGTGGTGTCGCTAGGGTTCTTGAGCTTACCAAACCAGTTTGGTCTTGGAATTGACTGTTATCTGTGTAAGTTTTGGTTTTCTCTTTACACACACACATATACATGTGCATATGTGCGTCTATATATACAGCTATATAAAAGTTTTTATTATTTATAGATGCAATGTATTTATCTAAATATATATTATATAAATATATACACACACTGTCTCTTATGGAATTAAAAGCAGTATATAAAGTATCAAAAAATAAAGAAGGAAAAAATATTATTTATCTCTGGGCAATGTCTTTCCTAGACAAAGTAGCTCACTCAGGAGGTCCCCAGCTGATGACTTTGAAACCAGAACGTGGCTTGCAGCATATCTGCGTTGGTAACTCAGAGCTCTATCAATGCAAATATATAGAATTCTGCTTCAGGGATGTCATCACTTTGTTTGCCCCATCTCTTTATCAAGGGCACTTTGTGGCAACAAATTGTATATCTGTGCTTTGGCCACTCTAAATTCTCAGCCTGACTGACAAGTTTAAATGGTCAGTGGAAATAGACTTGTATTTTAAAACTATGTAGTGGTCCCTCTCTTCTGCCTTATGGACAGCCAACTGCAGCAGAATGGCAGGGAAGACACCTGAAATATCTTAAACCACAAAAAAAGTCTCTTAGTGAAAGCTTGTCAGGACATTTAAAATATTAATTGTGAATAGAGTAAATTTTTTATTCTTTTATCAGTATATCTGTCTCAAAGGTCACACTTTTTTTTTCTAGTTAAATTTTTTTTATACCGGCAAAGTTCAATCTGTATGGTTACTGAAGGAAAAGACTGTACAGGCAGTTTTACACTGTAGTTTTTCAGACCCCTAAATATTTTGGAATGGTGATTAATAACCAGAATAATATGTTTTTCAAACATTTATCCCATTAGGAAAAAAAAAAAAAGACAACATATTTATTGTGACTTTTAACAGGGGTAGTAGCTTCCATCTGTTGTCATGACCCTGTTGTGTTCTATGTGCAGTACTATACAACCAGTAGAAAACCTAGAATCCTGATCCAATTATTTTAAATAAAATAAAACCAAAAGGAAAAAGAATGAGGAATTGAAGATTATAGTTTTGATACCATTCTTCTGTTTACTCTGAGACAAATTAATAAAGTTATAATTGTCATTTTTTACAGTTACTGATGTAGATACTTGGACTGAAGCAACTGAATTAATCTAAGAGTCATTGCTGTGTATTTTATAGGAAATGATACAATCTATTGGACAGATATGGGCTTCAACAAAATTAGCAGATCTAAACGAGACCAAACATGGAAAGAAGACATTGTTACAAATGGTTTGGGAAGAGTTGAAGGCATTGCAGTGGACTGGATAGCAGGTAGGTCTTTACCTGCTTCAGGAATTGTCATGATTTCTGACAGTACACTCTTGTGTCTTCAGCTCAAGACTAAATAACTTGGTTTGCTTTCAGCTCTGATTTCTAATATTCCAAATGTCTAGATATTTTTCTTTGAAGATACCACCACTGTTTTTTGCAGTTTTACTACAGACAAAAAAAAATATTTAAGTATCTGGGACACTTTCTTAGATGGACTGTCTCAATGGTGACAACAATGAATATAAGTTTATTTTTAAAGCAGAAGGCTCAAGAAGACTGGAAATTACAATTATAAGATATATAAGTTAAAATACAGCAGTTAGTTTCTGGTCCTAACATATGCGCTTAAGATTTAAACACTTTTCAAGTAGTCTTTTCTTTTTCCAGTAACTTCAAGGTATTTTTCCTAGGTAACATATATTGGACGGATCATGGCTTCAACTTAATTGAAGTTGCCAGGCTCAACGGCTCATTCCGATATGTAATTATATCCCAGGGTTTGGACCAGCCAAGATCTATTGCGGTACACCCAGAAAAAGGGTAACATGACCATAGCTACTTGCATTTCTTTTAAAGCTTGCATGCTGGCACTGAAGCTCTTAGATAAGTACATTAAGGCCTTCATTCTAATAGACAAGCATTTAATAAAACCCAAAAGGATTGTATTGGAAGCTGTTGTACTGTAAACTAAGCACAGGTGGAAGGAAGTGTTATTCTTATTATATACTGAGGTTTTTCTTTGGTCTCTGTATACATGACATACTGTACTTTCTTTGAAAAAGAGTTTTCATTTTCTAAGACAATAATTTCAACTGAAGTTTGGACATTGCTTGGAAGCATGCTTAAATCTGTTCTTAAGTTTCCAGCAAATCCGAGGAATTCACTTTAACTAATGAAGACCTCGATGTCATGATGAAATTGTAGAACAGTGTAGTCCTTGGTAGTTATAAATTCTAGGGTCACGTAACATCCCACTACAACAACCAGGAAGGTTGCCCAGGGTGGCTGAAAGTAATGGGAGATGAAGTGTGTGGGTAAGAAAGTAAGGGTTGTCAAAAATGACATCTGTATTCATCCAACTGTTTGTTGAGAGTAGGGACTACACTGCAGCATTAACAGAAATCGAGAACATTCTGTCCCCTTCCAGCTCCAAAACTATTGTTAGCAGAGCCACAACTAAAACAGAAACAGTAAATTCTGCAAAGAATTCCCCCTTTTTTTTTTTTTTTCACGTGAGTATGAAATGTTCTTTCAGAGGAGAATGCATGTGAGCAAGACTCAGTAGGTTTAACTACTACACTTACCCTGCTAAAAGGGAAGCACTAAATAGTGTGTATCGAAATCTTAAAGAAGTATTTGAGCAACTACCTATGCCCAAAGCCAGAGATGACATTGTAGCTCAATTTCCCCAGATTCAATCAAATCAGTATCTCACTGTCTTCAGGAAAGGAGTCTCTGTACTCAGAGGAGTTTGCAGCCATAGCAATGGAGATTTCTGACTTCTCACTGAGACCAGATTGATACCAGTGATCCAAATGCTGTTTGGATCTTTGCCATGATTTATTCTGTGAGAATGTAGACATAGTGATCTGTGTATTTTGCAGACTAGAATGAAGTCGAAAGCAATAACTGGTTTTATTTTCTGCATAATGTCATAGCTTTTGCCACAAATCATTACAGCTGTGTTCATATAGCAGCACTGGTTGCTTGGCAGTGTCTGCTAACGGTTTAGGATTAATGCTGTTCTTCAGAGTAGAATCTTCTCCAGATCCTAATCAGGATCTCGCTGAATTGATTATTATATTTTTGTCTTTAATGTACCAGAATAGTTGTGCTTTTCTATTAGAAAAAAATAAAATAAAAACCCACCACCAACAACAAAATTAAAGGTAAGTACACAGAAGCCTGACCAGAAGGGTAGATCAAACTTCTTCAAAACAATAATTAATTTACAGTGCAATTTCCTTCCACAAGTGTATAATGTATTTGCCGTACACATATACAGATACGTTTTCACCCTTTCCTTACATCGAAGAAAAGGAAAAGCCACCATGAAGTCTATGAAGCCTAAGTGCAGCAGATGCAGTTTCTCTAGAGAGTACTTAGGTATTAAAATAATATTCATTATATAAATAAAATCAATTCTTTTGAATGAGAAATTGTAAAATGTTTTACCAACTCTTCTGCAGTATTTGGAGAGGGAAGATGGATTGTAGCTGAGATCCAGCGTTTAACAATTGCTGTAGGGAAGAGTAAATGCAGAACCCTTGACAGAATACTAATGAATACTGTTATTGACAAAAAAGTTGCTTTTTTACTAAAATGTGGAATTTTTTTTTTTATTCTAATGAAAATATTTTTACATGATTCTTTCTAACTCAACAGTTCATGGTTTTATTTTACCAAAATGACAAGTGTGCATGTAAGCAGATGAAATAATAGCCAGCAATATTAACAAGATTCTTTGGAAAGAAACAGTTCCTGCTTTTAAGTTAATGGTTATTTAGAGATGCTACTGAACCGTATTCTTAGGTCTTAAAAGGGAACAGTATAAGGCAACCAAGAAGCAGATATTAATAAAATGTGGGTAAAATGTAATTTGGAGGAGTTTAAATTATTGCACTTGAAACAAAAAAACAGTAAAGAAGAGAAATGTTAAATGTAGCAATGAACTCAGTTGTGAAATATTCCTTGGATGTTTTGATCTGGTTGAGTTTTATAGTTAGTTTTTGGAGGTGTTTAGAATACTTAAGAAAACATAGGGAGATGAGAGGACCACAGATTAGTAATTAATTTACATTTCTGGTAGAAGAGCATATCTTCTGTGAAGGTAGGTAAGCTTCATCTCTCTTTTTTTAATACTGTGCCAGAAAATGATATCTTGAGATGTCTCCAGTCAAAGTTTCTACAGGAGGAGGATAGCAATGTTTTGCTAGTGAAGTACAGGTATACCTTCTGTGGGAAGATTAAAGCCCTTTT